CCAACTCATAGCAACCCCTCCTTGGGTTTTCAAGGCAGTATCACTACGGAAGTAGATTGCCCAACCTTCCTTCCGAAGAGTGGTTGGTAGGTTTGAACCACCAGTCTTCTGGTTAGTAGTCAAATGCCTTAGACACTATGCCACCAGAGCCACTAGTAATTCTTATTTCATTCTTTATAACATAATTTGCTAAAAATTCCATAATTTTGGGAAAAATCCATATAGTCATAATTTAGGTGGGGTGGAATCCAGATATCAGTCATTTTCTGTTTTATTTAATCATTCTTGAAATACTTTTTAATTTTTTCCAGCATATCTACTTTAGAAATTACATTGATAAATTTTAAATAATGCCAGTAAAAGAAAGCGAGGATTAGAAAAAGAGGAAGATTTGTAAGGTCTTCATAATTATTCAATTCAATCCAATATTTAAATGTCCTGTATGAGTTCTGTATTATACTAGGTTCTATGGCCTATACCAAATACATACACATAGTCTCCACCCCTAAAGAAGTTACTGTAAGGTTGAGATAAAGAAGAGAAGGGACACAGAAGGTAGAGCAAGGAAAACTTCATTCTGCGCTCCCAGGCGAGGTTCACGGGTCCTTGAAAGGGGCCAGAGAAGTCGCACTGCGCAGGTGAAAGAAAGGGTTTTTTATAGTGATTTTCTTCCTGGTTCTAAGAGGACCGGAGTGAGAGCAGGGTATGTGTTACAGGGACCAATAAGGTTACAGTACTCCATTAGCATGGGGGTAGGAAGTAAAGTTGAAGTACTTCATTAACATAGTGGGCAGGAAATGGTTGGGGGCTTTTGTGAGTAAGAGTCAGGTGCTGGGGTCTTTCGTAAGCAAGGGCTATGTGCTGGGGTCTGGTATGGGCTCTGGTCAGGTGCCTCCTTGCTTGACCAGTTGTTATAATTCCCTCTGGCTCAATCATTCACCTGCCTGGCCAGCCATGTTTCTGCCTAACAGTTACCAGCTGTTGACTAATCGAGAAATATATCCTGAAAAGATAAATTATATGACAGAGATGATTTAGTAGTATATATGAAACTATAATAAAGTATCCCCAGAAATTACAGATCAATAATCTCTAAGAGAAGAAATAGTAAAAATCAATGTATAATTGATGAGATTATTCCTCCCAAAGAGTAACTCACCGTAAAAAATGATTTGTCACTTTTGGAGACTGGAGGGAAATACTGAATTTAATCAGGATGACCAAGATTTGTTCTGTTGCTGCCCTAATGAAGAATGAAGATAGAATGAAGTCCCCCCCCCCAAAAAAAAGCTATAAAATTTAATATAGTGGCCTTCAACCTTTAATGTGCCTCAGAATAATCTGAAGAGCTTATTAAAACACAGACTGCTGGTCCCTATCCCAGAATTTCCCATTTAGTAGATCTGAGGGGAGACCCAAGAATTTGCATTTTGAGTACATTCCCAAGTGAGGCAAATGCTGTTGATCCCAGGAACCACACTTTGAGAACCATGATCTAATACATTATGTTGAAATCTCTCTGGGAGGAAAAGGATGAATCAGAAGAGTCATCTGCATGGAGTCTGGAGAAGTGGAGGAGGAAGCAGATGTCAGGGAGTATCTACAGTGCTGTCATACCCACTCAGAGTAGTGCCTCCTTTGGGGACTTCCCAGTGGAAAAGGCAAGCTATCTTTGGATTTAACAACATACCTAATCTTCTTTGTATGTGTAGACTATGTGTAGGTACCTGTCCAATCTGGGCCAATCAGAGTCTCTTCTCTAAACAAGTGAAATTGGAATTAAGTCAATCTTTCCAAGATGCTGGAAACATGAATTTGAGAGTGCCGGGGAGCCCTTTCAGTGGCATGCTGAAGTCAGCCTGTCCATACAAATCCACAAGAGCCCATTGTTAAATTTCCAAGAATTTCACAAGCTACTTGTTAACCATGTTGTTGTTGTTGTTGTTATGTGCCTCTGAGTTGGACCCGACTCATAGCAACCCCTCCCTTGGGTTTCCGAGGCGGTATCACTACAGAAGTAGACTGCCCAACCTTCCTTCCGAGGAGTGGCTGGTGGGTAGTCATTATTAAAACTTAAGTGTACTTAAATAACATAAAGCCAAAACCAAACCCAACCTACTGCCATCAAGTTGATTCTGACTCATCATGACCCTAGAAGACAGAGTAGAACTGCCCCATAGAGTTTCCAAGGCTGTAAATCTTAACTGCCTCATCTTTCTCCCATGGAGCATCTCGGATTTGAACCACCAGCCTTTTGGTGAGCAGCTGAGTGACTTAACCACTGCACCACAAGAGCTCCTTAAATAATATAAAAAGTAATAAATACATAGGACCCATGACTTACTAAATATTTTACTACATTTTACTATTACCTGTGCTCCTGAGGTTATATGTGACTAGTATATCTTCATGGTGGAGTTGCTGGGTAGTATAAATGCTTAATGCTTTTGCCTGTTGGGAGCTCTGGTAGCATAGTGCCTAAGGCATCTGACTGCTAACCAAAAGGTTGGTGGTTCAAACCCACCAGCCACTCCCCGGAA